GCAAGAGTCATTTTACACAGGAGCGGCTACATTTTGACAGCTGTCCCTGCTGTGCAATACAGAACAATTACCAGCTGTCATTTTGACAGCTTTATAGCAGCGAGATTAGTGGCAGCAGGGGGAGAGGAGTTTAACTTGAAGTTTTTTAGGATGTATCTCTTACATTTAAAATCCTTAAAGTGGACCTTTACCCATATCTTTAAAATAACAACAAACACAGCTTTAGAAATGTTTAGTAATGACAATCTATAAACACATACTTCTAGATAATTGCCGGTTGTGTATTCTTTGCATACCTTATTTCTCTTTTCTTCCCCAGTCTTCTGACAGTGGCCATGTTTACTAAGGGCAGATTACTAAGAACAGATCTCCCTTTACTTCCTGGAACTCTGGCACATGTGACTAAGACATGTGACCCTGCAATCCTCTCAGGGGAGGACAATGCCTTTCCCTGAGATCTCATGAGATTGCAGATGACATTTTCCAGCACTGCTCTGCTGATGTAACCTGCCCAAAATGCAATGCTTAGGCACATTACATAATTTTTGCCAGAACTGGACCAAGAAGTGGATGAACTCTATTTGTAAGTAAAGGAAAAACAAGCTTGTTTAACTAATGAACGTAAGGTTATTTTAAATCAGCATGCAGTCTGATATCTTACTTCATTCATCTCACTTCCTTTGAGCCCAGGTGGTCCTAGACCTGTCCAAGCCTATTACTGTATAGTCAAAGGAGAAGCAGCACAGTGATAATCCCATCTCTTTGCCATGCTTTCTTTCAGCATGCTTCTTCTCTTCTCAGCTGCTTTGACCAATGGCAAAGCGCCATTGGTCAAAGCTGTCCAATCAAGAAAAAAAAAACCCACTGAGGACATCGATCTCGATGCCTCACCAGGGACAAGCAAGTGAGGGACAGTTAGGCTCCTGTTAACAAAAAACTTGGGTTGCTTTACTCCTGGGGATCCGCTCTTAATAGATTACCCTTGAATATACGGGATCTAGTCCGTCAACCGTATCGGTAACCAATCAATAACATATAGAAAAAAAAACATAGGGCAGACTGCCTTCAAAGGGGAGGCAGTCAAGGGTTAAACCAGAGATCGGGACGGACCAGATTTGAAAAATCATACATAAACAGTTTTATTCGTGCATATCCAAGCACCATCTAAACTCAAAGAAACATAGATAAAATCATGAATGTTCACTGACTGTAAGTCTATTTCGTTCTAGGCGGTTGTTGTAGACCCTAAAAAAAGTTTCAATGCCTTCGTTCCAGTTCCTTAAGGTAGTCCCCCTTAGATTGCAAACGTATCCTTTGCGTTATTTTAGTTGGCCTAAAAAGGTTTCAAAAAATATTTGTTCTTACAAGATAGATTGTGTCCCCACTACGGGGGTATTGTAGTCAATAATAGCAAAGGAAAAATAGCAGTATTATTTAGGCTATTTCAGTGGCCCTTCCGTGTATCCTCGGTGGTAAATATATTACTCAGAGGAACACAGCTTCCAATATCTCTCCGTGTACTATCTAGCTCTCACTTTTCTGGTGTTTTTTGTTTCCGTTATATCTATACATCAAAAATGATAATAAAAAGTTCCGTTGTTCTAACTCGCATATCCTTTGAGGAGATATCTTCTTATTCTTATCTAGGAGAGCCTTGTGGTTGGTTATTCCTCCTTGTTGTAAAGTCCATGTGTGCCTCGGCCGAGGGTATATATAACAGAGAAGTCTGTGATATCTTTTGTAAAATCCAAAGCGGTAGGTGCTTTCTTATCAGTTAAGGATATGTTAAGGGCATCCGAAGTGAGGAATAGTAGGAAGATTTTGAGCGTGTTGTGGGTCTGGATTTGAAGAGCAAGGTATTTGTTTTAGATTTGGGTCATCCAACCATTTCCATGTCCTGACGAAGCCCCTGGCGAGGGGTGAAACGCGTAGACGCTGCACGTGGAAATCCCAATACACATTTGGTGACCCCAGTGTTTTGAACAAAGTCCTTCAAAATCCACTCCTTCTTAAAAGAAAATCACCTTCGTGCTCTGTGCTCTACCTTAAATGAAATTCTGCTCACCTTTTTTGGTGCACCTCCTCTTAATTAAGATTCAGTCAAACACACACGTATGCTGATATGGAACTTTCCTTTTCCTCGTTTGCAATTACATATAGATATATAAGATAATTCCACTCTCCTCACAGGTCTCCTCTTAATGGAAATCAATTTAACAATCCTGTGGATAACTATGGACCAATCTACATTACCTCCTTGTTCCCAATAGTACAGTGCTGTTTCACTTAATTTCACTCTGAAGATACAGAAGATATACCATAATGTAGATCAAACATTTTTATTAAAACAATTAAAACACATATTAAAAATGCAGCCTTGTGTTCATACAAAACGCCACATAAAACGTTCTGTTTTTCCTTAATGGTTTCCAAAATTTGCCTGGCGGTTTGACACCAAGTGTGGCTTAACATTTTTTGTTTGCCAGTGTCCAAACCTCCTGAAGGTGGCATGTAACCCATTGATCTAAAATTATACACTATTTCTGTGCCCCTCAATAAACTCCAATAAAAAGATTTTATGGTAATTACAAAAATAATATTTTAATGATGCAATAATGATTACATAACTGCAATGATCTGTGTCTTTTATATCTGCCTTTTATATATTCAACTTTAACTATACCCTTTTAAGTGCACCCACTGTGGTCAAGCATAGTGTTCAATGCAACTTTCCTCTTTTCAGTGTTCCCCGGGTATATTTAAAGCCAAAACATTGCAGCCCGTGCTGCAAACTTTTTGTTTGTTTGTTTTACATTGGTTACACCCCCTGTTTTTGCTGCCTCTGTCTCCTTTTTCTCTGTTGTACTTCCTGTTTCAGACACACAACAGCAAGTGTAAAGAAATCTCTTTAAATTGATGATAAATCTCCTCTTAAGTTGGGTTTACGCTGTAATATTTTCTTCATTCAACCTGAGGGCTGAACGAAGAAAATATAACAGAATCCCCCCACTGTTTCTATTGTATCCCGATTGACTGCAAGCACCGTTTGGCCGCAAATTTTCCAACCAGCTCCTTTTGATCTTTTGATCGAGTGATGCTGGGCAGAAGGGTGCCGCTGTTGGGTGCAGCTTTATTATGATCGAGGGTGGTGATGTACCTGGTGGAACTCAACCTTTCTATCAACCACCCAAGGCATGGCATAAGCATAAAATTTTGATAATATTTAATTTAGTTTCCTGAAGTCATTGCAGAACCTCAGGTTTTCATTTGGCTTAGGGATGAGCACTATGGGAATTGACTACTCACTGTTAGATTCTTCTGTAACCATAAGGGTTAACATTTTCTGTACCTATTCTGAAAGGGCTTTTCTCTGAACTTCAGGTACCTGATAAGGATTTAACTTTATTTTGACGTGAGGCTCAGTCATTGTAAATTATGTTAGTTCAGCCAGGTAGTTCTGACAAAATCTCAATTTGTCTGTAAGAACTGTTTGCCTCCTGGTAGTGGGCAGAGTCTCTGACATCCTAACCTCAGGTCTGTATTTCTGCGGTAATACTTTTGGGTTGCTTTCTGCTGAAAGAACCTTGTTAACCTTCCAGGGTTTTATTAGGTTAACATAGTATATTTCAAGTATTTTCTGTTTTAGGGCCGTAGGTGAGTAATTTTTAACAACCCTCTCGAAAGGGAGCTCAGTTACAGACCAGAGTACCAGTGGACCTTGAAAATCTGGTTGGGTGCATTTGACATTCAGACCATGACTGCTAGGGAGGAGTTGTCGGGTACCTCTGACATAGGTTGTTAACTTCCCCCTTGAAGATGCAGAGGTAGACTTCAACATCTTTCTGCAGGGACAATGTTCATAAAGTGATGTCCACCATCTGTCGAGGTGTAGAAGTTGGTTCCTGTGCCACCATCTGCCTCTCTAACAGTGCCTGTATCTGCTGCTTTAGAGACAGCTTCACTTTCTGCTGTTCCTGGTGGTCTACAGTCAGCTGTTGCACCTGCTGTTCAATTTAACAGGTCACCTCTTGCTGGTTAGCAAGCTGTAAGATGAACAGGCTCAATTGGTAATGCCAGCAGTAAACCATTTACAAAACAGGGACACTTAGGAACAGTCCAAGTGGGTTTGCTGCACTTTTATTCAGCCGGGCAGCAAGCAAACACAGCTTCAATGCAGAAGGGCTTTATACAGAAAGTCCATAGCATAAAACAAACAAGACATCTGTTTGTCCGAACAATTAAATAAGTTAGGTTAGTTCCTGACTAACAGGGTGCCCCTAATGCTTTCCACAAAACAAACAGTCATCTCTTGTACCTTTTAGTGTTCTGTCAGCAGTGAGCTTTTTTACACAACAGCAGCCTCCCATACAGATAACAAAGTCTTGCTACTAAGTAAGATGTGAACCTGTAAATTCTGTAAAGTGAGGATGCGTTAAAAATAACGTAATGATTCGTTTTCATATACCAATTAACAACCAACAAAGTGTATAAACAAAAAATAAAAACTAATTCAAAAAAATATTGGAAGTGTCCACCCTTTAAAACAATATCAAGCCTCCTAGGGACACAGTTTTTTTTAAGGAACTCAGCAGGTAGGTTTTAACAAATATCTTCAGTAAGTTTTTATCCTGGTGTTTTAGCTTTGTGAATTGAGCCAACTGTCTCCCTGACTCGATGTGCAGAAATGCAGCCCCAAACCTGCAAGGATCCTCCAACATGCTACACTGTTACCTGAAGACACTCACCTGTGTAACACTCTTCGGTACTTCATTGAACAAACTGCCTTCGTTACAGAATATTTCCAATTTTGACTCATCACTTTGGATAGTCATACTTTCCCTAAGGCACTAAATCTGTATTTAATTTTTCCAAAAGCGTTGAGTAATTTGGCTGGTAAAACTATTGTAAAAAAAGTGTATAGAGAGTGGAATAAGGACACAATGTGGTTTTGATAACAGATAATTAAAATGTCTATTAAATCTGTGCTTCATTTGTTTCAGGGTGAAGTCTGGGTATATGTAAACCCACTGTGGAAAGCACAATGACTACGACAGATCAAGTACTGCTTGCAACCCGCCAAGTGAAGAGGAATCCTGCCAATGAATAATATATTTCTGCAGCTGCAATGTGAGTATATACAGTATACAAATTATAAATAAGATCATTAAGATTTTTATAAACCCTTTTAAAATGTATTTGCCAAAAAAATGTCAACTCTTCAGGTGAAACAAACTAACCATCTAATTGCATTTCACTCTAATATACCGAATGGTCACATTTCACAAGGAAGAAGGACAAAAACGTAGTTATTGCTGGATGTTTTTAACAGTCATTTGTAGATGTCTGTAGCATATGATTATGACTCAGGATTCAGTTCTTCTAATCTGCACAAAGTCCACCTATACCTTCATCACATTTGGACAAGGAACATTTTCTTCTAACAAGCCCTTCCAGCCATAAATTATATTTTGAGACTGTTGCCGGAAAGTCAACAATGTACCCTTTGCAAAGTCCTGCTGCTCAGCCTGTGCTGTATGCCTTGGAGATCCCACTGTAGGTTTCTATGAGGAACCTTCTGAGACTCAAACACAAAACAAGTAGTGGGATGCAGGAGTAGGAATTACTTGCAGTCATATTTTGAACTGGGTGTGAGGCACAGTTTAGTGATGTTAAACCTAACTTCAACTAGGTAAAAAATAAATAAGATTGTGCCCCCTTCCCCTTCTTTTCCCCACAGCGGATCCAGTGCTAATTTTTTTCTATGAGCTTTTTTTCTAACAGAGTGATAACTTAAAGCTGAAGTTTAATCAGAAATGTTTTGGGTGTACAGTACCAGGGACATAATCCCTCTAATGAAGTCTATTCTATGTCCCGTTGGTTACCGTAAAAATTGTCCGTCCCTTCTCTGATGCCAAATCCTCCTTACAGCACTGATCTTCCGCACTACATGGGTATTATTTTCACATCATGCAAATCATTCTGTGAATGAAGGAGGGGGATCCTGTCATTTATCTGCCTCTCCTCCATTCACATGACTTTTTAGAATGTAGAGATATATATGTTAGGATAATAATATAGGCAAGAGCTCCACTTTAGTAAGAAAAACAACACATAAAATCCAAGAGGGAAAATAGAGGTCTAAAAGGCCCCGAGCTTTGTGTGAATTAGTTGTTTTATTCAAAATACGGAAAAAGTGACATCTTTAAAGGTTCTGTGTCTCCTTCGTAAGGGCTACAAGCAAGGTAATTAATTATTGAAACAAAACAAACTGTAACATATACAGAAATCACATAAATATATTGTGAAGGCAGATCATAGATTTCCTATCAATTTCTGTCCTGTGTCAACAGTCACCAGGACTGGAAGTGAGACTACATCTTCCTATCAGGACACAGACAGAAAGAAAAACCCCTCCTCTCTCTCCTTTTTGAAAAATTACATAAAATGTTAGGTGTAATTCAAATTGAAATATGATTAATAGTTAAAAGAATTAATTGTAATACCATAGCATATACTTTTAATATATGATGGCATATTAAAAGTAGCTAAGCCAAAAGGTTGTGTGTGTTTTATTGTTGGAAATGTTTTTTTTTTTTTTCCTGTGAGTAAGCCATATACACATTGAGTGGAAAAAGTAAATGCAGTAAGCCTGTTTTGATAGGATGGGTTTAGAGGGACCCATCAGAGGTGTCACCCTATGAGCATAGTGATTACATTCAGTGACTATAATTGAAAATGTATTATATTGTGATACCTTATGAATTAAAGTGTATGTTCAGCCAAACTTTTTTTTAAATAGATTGAGCCACTGTTTGATTGATATTGCTACCTGGGGCTCCTTTAGAGATCTCCCTTTTAGAGATCTCCTGTCCCGCTGACAATGCTTTCACTAGACAGGAAGTGGCAGAAAATTTGCAACAGAAACACAAACGGCAATTAAAATCTGAGTTCTGGCCTTTTCTTACTATACAAAAAAACATTTTTATTGTCTATCTGGTGTAGATTTGTTTCTAACCTTCTGTCAGGTGAAACCGTTGTCACCATGACACTAAGTGGAAATCTTTTTAACAGTCCAACGTAGCAGTAAAAACTGACAGAGTTCTAATCCTTTCCCACTCTCCAAGACTGAAGAAGAAACTTGTCCCTGTATATACACTTTAAATATAAACTATACTGCAACTTCTGAAAATGATTCATGTTGAAATTGTATACTTATATTATACCGAAAGCTGATAAACCTGACTTTGTCCTCCCCATAACATCAGGCAAGATGGCACCCCCATAGCCAGGTTCATGGAAGACTTGACTCTGCCTTTTGATACACTATAAAGGTGGATTGTAGTGTGGTGGAGATAGGCAGGAAAGAATAAGCCCATGTGGCGATAGGTTAACTCTAAATTCTGCAGGCGATATGTTAACAACCTACATCCACTGAACCTGCACTGAAGAATGGCTAGAATAGAAAGTGCCTTGTGCTTTATAACTCATCAAAGTCTCTGCTGCTTTTTTTCGTGTTGTAACACAGTAATAGGATAGGCTTTGGTTTCTTTTTTCAGTTTCATGGCTTTGAGTAACATTTCTCTGTTATTTTCCATGGTAGGTGACATCTCTCTGTTATTTCTAAGGTAGGTGACAAGACCTAGAAGTGTTAGACTAGGCAGCTTTGAAAGGATTTGGTTTCCTTCAAAATTGAACTCTAACAAGTTATCCACATAAAACATTATTTGCTCTACTTCGATAGCAGCTAACAGAAACATAAGAACATCTCCTGTTTTTGATCAGTGAAAAAATGTAAATATATAGGTCATGACTGGGTTTATAAAAGGATATGAATGCTCCATTTGGGTTGCTAGATTTGTTAAAGCTTATATATTAAAGATTTATTATTGTCCCGTAATTTAGCTGTACTTACTTTGTTTAAATCTGGCTCGTGAGCTTGAGTGCCAGAGGTAAGAGGTCACCTAAAGTCTGGTAGATGTGGTTGTGGCTATGACAAGATCACAAAGAGGCTGGAGATTGCACGGAGGCTTTACCAATGTGTTTCTGCCAGTCATTTTAGACAGAAGAAGCAGACAGAACCAGCAGAGGTACCTAGGGCCAGATTTGACTGTTTGCACGTGCTCGACTGGTTTTGTGTTGTAATGTAATTGTCAGATGTACACCATTCACATTTATAAATGCCAGCTCTACCTTTATTCTATATTTCTCAAGATCTCCAGAGGTGAGATATCTGTACCGGTAATTCAGTTTTATCCAACTTTTGAAAGCACTGCAAGGTCATCATTTATACAGTATGTTAGTAAAAACTTGAGGGTTCAGTGGAGTTTGACATCTTTGTTATGGACATTTCTGGGAGGTGATAAAAGAGACAGAATCAAAGCAAAATTCTTGTAACCGAAGTATCTGAGATTTATAAAATCCTGACTGGTGAATAAACCCACTGGTGTTTCCACAGAACTGAAATATGGGTTGGGTAGAGTTACCCATTGAAATGTGACTGTGGAGATTTTGTGAACACTGACTAAATTTGATTGAGGAGCTCAATGAAACCCTCATAACAAAGGTGCCTTAAACTGCCCCGGCATTCAAAAATTAGAACGTCAAATAGCAATTGAGCTTGGATGTCCCAAATCTTTAGCAGATCTAGCTAAATCTCAATGCTCAGGACACTTAGCATCACTGCCCAACTTTGATGTTATCTCACTTCAGCTATAAAAAGACATAAGAGTTATGAGGATATCGGGGAAGCTTATACAAATGCTAATGATCAAAAACCTTAGATGATTATTGGCCTGTGAAGTGAAATTTCTTATTTTCTGTGTATTTAAAATGTAGTATATTTATGTTTTTAATCAGATGTATTATTATAGCCAAAATCAATACAGTTTGCTAAGGTCTTGCAATTAGTTATTTGCATAAGAAAAAAATATATTTATTCCCCTTCAAGCAATCTTTCACAGAAACTCATCTAAGTGCTATTATAACAATGTCATAATCTATAAAGCTGGAGCGCATCTTGGAGCGCATGGTAGCCACTTAACCAATGTCTAAAATCCCACAGCTTGTCTAATGGGACCCATACTCTAATTTGTACACACTATAAACCGATCAAGGTTAGGATGCTTGAATTTTTCAATGATTTCTTCTAAGTCCTAGCTGCATCTAAAGTGGCCATATAACACAACTCAAATTTCGTTTTAGGAAATCCCCTTTCTGCAGAAAAAAATGCAGCGTAAAGGTCAGGACCATATGAAATAATGACAAAAATAGTGTATTGGAGTATGGGCATTCTTGCTGCTTGGCATGGCATATTTGAACAGCCTGAATCAGGGAAACAAGCTTGACTCCAATGAACAAATGGAAGCTTTGCTTCCTGTGATTCTCATGTCAACCAAGGAAAAAAAAATAATAATTCATTGCATGGCTCCTACCATCTCTCAGCTGTCTTAAGGGCTTGTTCACACGATGTCCGGACCAGATCTGGAGCAGATCTGCAGGCGCGGTGCTATGCGTTTTGGACGCGTTCCAGTAAAAATATTTTTTTTTTTTTTGCTGGAGTGGGGCTGTCAGTATGTTAGCTGCAGTGCAGTGCGTTTTTGACATGTTTTGCGTTTCCAGACCGTATCCTGACCGGACAAGATGTGACATGCATTTTTTTTCTGTCCGGACCTGAACGGACTGCACACGTGAGAACTATAGCCCATAAAACACATAGGGATACATTGGGATGCATTTTTAGGGCAAGAGCGCACGTATCTGGTCAGGACAGAATCCGGACGTATTGTGAACAAGCCCTAAAGCAGGTTTGGCACACATTATTAGGTGTCTCCAGGTAAGTCTGATAACTGATTTTCTCACAAGCAGATGAACCCACCTTAGAAAATATACCAAATTTGTTATACTTATGGATTTAAATACCTCTGCTGTTATAAACTATGGCAAATATGTGTTTGTTTGTTTTTATCAGAGCTCTTCTTTAATGTAATGTCTGCTAAAGTTTACCATAATAAAATGTACTACTTATACATGAGACAGCATTAAAAGTGAATCTGCGGCTAGGATATGGACATATAAATATTTACTTATTCTTAACAACAGTAAATAAACTATAAAAGAAGCCTTCACTCACTGCAGGCACTGTTG